ACATGACAGCCTTCTATATAGACATCTATCAGTATTCAAATTATTTTAGAAAAACTCAGTATCAGCCTAATATATTCCAAACCGAACCTTTTTTCATATATATATATGTCGAATATATATATATTCGACCAAAAAAATATATTCCAAACCTTTTTTCAGATATATAAGGTAATATATATTGCAAACCTTTTAATCGATGCATTAGACCATGTCGTAATAAAATCACTATTACATTCCCTAATGCGGATAAAAGATAAAAATTAATTAAAGCATAACTTTGCATAAATAAATTAAAATGACGGTTAAATTTAATTCGTTTTGAGTTGACAAAAAGAAGAACAACAAGAAGAAGAGAGCAGGAAGTAAATTCACAGCCTCTATCTTTCAGCCAAATGAAAATGTCCCAACACCTAGCCCAGCTTATCGATTTTGATCAATCAAAAAATAAATAAAAAAATAAGTGAAGCAGACTGCAGTGAAAGCACTCAAAGGCAATAATATCAATTTTCTTTTTCTTTTTTTCCTGAAAATTGGAGGAAATATGTGGAATTATGTTTGTAGCCCGGAAAGAGCTTTATCGGTTCCTTCGTGCCTTACACAAATATCGAACCAACCTAGAATTATTAACACGAAGTCTTTTTTTTTTTTTTTTTGGTAACCCAGGGAACCCACGCACGGCCGACAGCCGGAGGGTAAACCCTGGGGGCGACACGTGCTAGCCACCACACACGTGCCACCGGTTAAGTCACCCTGCGGCGTCCGGGATTCGAACGCTCAACCTTTTGCGAGAGGAAGAGCGCCCATTCCAGCGACGCCACCCAGGCGGGTGGTATTAACACGAAGTCTTTTTTTTTTTTTTTGGTAACCCAGGGAACCCCCGCACGGCCGACAGCCGGGGAGTAAATCTTGGGGGCGACACGTGCTAGCTACCACACACGTGCCACCGGTTAAGTCACCCTGTGGCGCCCGGGATTCGAACACTCAACCTTTTGCGAGAGGAAGAGTACGCGCTCCAGCAGCGCCACCCAGGCGGGTGGTGTATTAACACGAAGTCTTTCATCTTCAGTTTAGCTAAAAAAATTGTCTCAACGGTCGAGCTCGACGAAGCTCTTCGTGGCCATGGCTGCAAGCTCGATGAAGCTTTCACGGCCATGGTGAAGCTCGATTGGCCATGACTGTGAGCTTGAAAAACCTTGAAGCCGGAGTGCCCATGGTCGAGCTTGACAAAACTCGAGCAAGCTATGGCCCATGGCTAAGATCTAGCTCAAAGAAGCTTGAGTGGCCATGGCTGCGAGCTCAACGAAACTCCAATGGCCATGGTCGCCAACTTGAAGAAGCCTATAAGCTGAAGTGACAATGGTTGCAAGCTCGACGAAACTCGAGTAGCGATGGCCCAAAGCTTGAAGAAGTCTGAGAGTTGGTAGTTATGGCCGAGCACCATGAAGCTCGGGTGACAAGGTTTTGCCTTTTTTTCACCCTTAAATTCTTATTTTTTTATTTTTTAAATTTTTATCCCTTTTCGTTTTATCCTATTTTAATTTTTTTAAAAAATCTTTGTTATCAGTTTTTCTATTAAATTTTCAATTTTTTTTAATGTAACTCTTGGTGGAAGCCATATCGACGCTATTTGTCTTAAAAAAGTAATAGAACACGTCCACACATTTTCCGTTAGTTAAATTAGATAGAGTTAATTGAACGATTTGATTGCACAAATTTAACAAATTTTAAAATTTAATTGTATATTTTGAAAGTTTAGAGACTCGATTGCACTTTATAGTGCAATTATTCCTATTTGCTGATTAGATTTCCAAATACTTTTGCACATGGACCCGACATATATAAAATCAATGCCTTCTAACTAATAAATCAAGTGATTCAATAAGGACCCACACAATGTAACGGATCACATCCATTGAGCGGATGTCCACACAATAAACCAAATAAATTTCCACATACGTTCCCGCGGTCCATCGTTATCATTGAACATTCAATTTCCACGAAAAACTTGATTGGTTTTATGTCACGGTGATTGAATCAGCTGTGGTGTTTGCCTTCTTCTCTTTCACTATCACGTCTTTAATTCTCAAGCGAGGTTTACGACAAGATGATCCATTGTCTACTCATCCGTTTGTTCTAGTTGCAGATTCCCTATCAATCTTAATCATAGGTTGGCTCAGAGCAATAAAATTAACCTCGCATTGCCCTGTTTTGTCCCATTTATTGTTTGCCAATTGCTTGATCTTCTTCCTTGAGAGATCTATAAGAGAATGTTAAGAGCTATTGCACATTTTGAATCAATATTGTTATGCATCTGCACAAGCAATCTGGGGTTCTCTTGAGTAAGGCTTGTCCAGAGAGTCATCAGATAAATGCTGCAGAAACTCTCAGAGTGCCGCTTTTACAAGGTGTAGGAAGTTATTTAGGAGCGCCATCCCAAGTTAAGCTGTGTTTTGTTACAAAATACCAATATCTGTCTATGGAATGATGGAAAAGAAGATTGCGAATTACTGGTGGTCCTCTGCAGAAGGCATAAATGGAGTCCATTGGAGAAGCTGGAAAGTTATGATGCATTCTCTGAGCATTTTCCTGAACACGTTGCCCACAAGATTTTGGCAATTTCTTTATGTTCGAATGCAATTGAAGATAGCCAAATTTGGCCCTTGAATTGAATAGGAAAATTCAGTGTAAAAAGTGAGGAAAATGACATAAATGATCAATTAGCTTTGGCCCAAGGTGCAGTGCCATCCCTAAATTTTTAATTTGTTCAATGTGGTCCTTTAACTTTGGCCTAATGTGCAATATCATTTTTTAACTTTTAATTTGTTTAATGTGATCCCAAATTTTTTTTTATAAATGTTCAATCTAATCTCTAAATTTTATGAAAACATATAATTTTATCCTTCCATTAATTCAAATTTACGGAATTTACTGATTTAGCTTCTAATTCGGTATGTTTGAACTATAAAAAAAAAGAAAATCATATGTGATTATTCACGTAAGATAATCAACTTAAATTATAATATAATGATCTTTTTAATTTGTTCAATTTGATGACGTAGATTATTAAATCTTGATTTGAGTTGAATATCTTATGTTGATAATTCATGTGTAACTTTATTTTTTTGCGCACCGTTTGAACTTGCCGGATTGGAAACCAAATGAACAAATTCCGTTAACTTGAATTAATAGAAGGATAAAATTGGATGTTTTCGTATAATTTATGGATTAGATTGAACATTTACCAAAAGTTAGGGACCGCATTGAACAATTTAAAAATTTAGAGATGACATTGCATATTGGGTTAAAGTTTATGGACCATTTGTGTCATTTTTCCTAAAAGAAGGCTATGGATCAAGAAATTTTGGAGTGTTTTATGGTGGGGCAACTCAAGACACAACCAAAGATTAAGTTTTTCCTACAAACTCTATTTTAGAACGCGTCGCCAACGGAAGAGATTTACTGTTGAATGATGTTGCCAATCTGAACTCTTCCATTTAGTCAACGAAAGCTAAGAGTATAGAAAAAAAAAAGCTCTTCCAAACTTGTAAAATCTTGTGTCAATGCTACCGTCCCTCATTTCGTGTTTATTATACATTCATAGATTTTGGGAGATAAAAGAGGATTTTGATAGATGTCGAATATCACTGTGAGTGTTCTGAGTGAGTAAGAACGAATTATCTTATTTCAGAAAGAGAGAGAGATTCGACATGATCCATGTAGTGCTAGATTCGAGTACAGCAAAGAGATAGAGAGTGTGTGTGCTTGCGACGGGCGAAGGCGACTGTGACAGCGCTAGGGATGGCACTGCTGAGGCCGCGACTATAGCTTCCAGGTGTCCCACCTACGTGTTCCTCCCTCTCTCTATTTCACTTGAGGCGCAAATGATAATCGTTCTATTTTTTTATTTTTTTATTTTTTTGTTCCCCTGAACTAGTTTGGAATAGAAATCTGTTTGGTAAAATAATTTCATTTTTGTTTATTTTTGAAACAAATTTTGACCCAGAAATAGATTTGGATCATAAATAGAAATAATAACTCTCTCTTATTGCTCACTCTTGCCACCCACTTGCCATTGCCCACCCGCCGCCGCCGTCCGTTGCTGCTTGCCGGCTGTCCCCCGTTGCCGCTGCTCGTCCACCACCGTCGGCCGCCCGCTTGCTAACCGTTCGCCGCCCTTCCGTCGCCGCTCCCGGCCATTCGCTGTCACCCGCCTACGGGCCATCCGCCGTCGCCACTCGCCGGTCTTTTGTCCGCCGCTGTGCCCCCGACGCCGCTCGTCGGCCGTCTGCCACCCGTTTGCCATCGCTCCTGGCTGTCCGACGCCACTCTCGACCATCTACTAGTGCCCGTCCGCCGCCGCTTGTTGCCAGCCCGTCGGCAGGTGGGCATTCGCCACCGCTTGTCGCCCGCCGACCGTCTGCTGACGCCTGCTCGTCGGTCGCCACCCGCAGCCCGTCCGCCACTCGCATCCTGTCCGCCACCGCTCGCTGCCCGCCCATTGTTGCCACTTACCGGCCGGCCACCGGAAACAGAAATTTAAGAATAAGAATTTTTATTCTGGGAACAAAATTTTTGTGTCGTTATCAAACCCTAGTTTTTGTTAGAAAGTCTGGAAAAGGGAAATGGATTGTTCTATTTCTAGCCAAAATAGGGTCGGGGACAAGAAATGTTGTGATTCGCACCCTTGTCCTATTCCTTTCTATTTCTCCGGATTCCCTGTTTTTTTATTTTGATAGAAGCAATAAGTTTTGTTCTATGATACTTTTTTGAGAGCTTATTTCCACGTCGGACGTCACATGGATGTCATCGGGGGGCCACGGACCAACTTGAACAAATGAGAGAGGAGAGAGAGAGCGAGACTATCTATACGTATAGATCGAGGACTCGATTACAACCTCGATCACAAAGGGAAATATCTCAAAAGATTTGACTTTGCCAAACAAGAGGCGATCAGGGCAAATCCCAGAGCGCTTGCCATCCTCCTCGTTCTGATCCTTGCAATGAAGAAGGCGGAGGAGTACTCAGCAGATGCAGCAGCAGCGATGGGCGGAGACGCCGCCTCGTATACGTACTGCTACGATGTGTTCCTGAGTTTCAGAAGGATCTACACTGGCTATTCTCCCGGCGAATTCTTGCACCGGAGCTTGGTTGATGCCGGGATCCGCGTCTTCGGAGACGACGATGAATCTCGAAACGGTGAAGAAATTGGCAAGGAGATTCTGAGAGCGATCGACGGGGCCAAGATCTGCATACCCATCTTCTCCCAATACTACGCTTGCAGCCCGTGCTGTCTCCGGGACCTTGCGGCAATGGTGGAAAGCAAGGCCAAATCGGGTGGTGGGAAAACGATCATCCCCATATTCTGCGACGTGGAACCTCGTGATGTTAGGCTTGAAACCCCTCTGTACCGCGATGACCTAATGATGCGCAAGCTCGAAAATATATATGGGTCCGAGGAAGTAAAAGCGTGGGAAGATGCTCTTACAGAGGTCGGTTCATTACCTGGATGGGAAACGCGATCTGGCAGGTAAAAGGCCCAGACTTTGTTACAGGAGGGTTTGCAACTCATAGATCGTTTTCTAGGATAGCAATGCTAAACTCCAAATAGAAACTTTACCTTACCAAAAAAAAAAAAAAACTCCATATAGAAACAACTGATCACTTCGTTTTTGGATGTTGCGCTTTAAGTAGAAATAAACTTCAAATAGTTGTTCCGCAGTTCAATAGGAGTGGTTATTGCTTTGTCATATAGTATCAGCCCTACTGTTAAACTCGTGCCCTTTCTTTTCTAACTGAAACGGTTTACTTCTGTGGCAGCTCGATTGACGACATGAGAAAACTCGTTGAAGCAATCACGGTCAAGCTGAAGGTAAACCGTGTGCATGTGAATAAACTCATGTGTGACTCTCATTTCTACTTATCAGTAGTTGATAACAGAAACTGCTTGAATATATTTCCTTCCTAGAGTTCACCTTAAGTATGAGATGTAAGACTCTACATGCTAGTCTTATATATAGTAGTGTGCATGGCATGGCAAACAACCTCACCTTAGAGGTCCAGTTGTGGAAGTAATCAGCCATCGTTTTTTATGAATTTTGTATCTCTAGAGAGATTGGGACATTATTGCAAATGGAGTATAATCATCCGAAGGTTGATTACCTTCCAATTAATGCTATATCCTAACTTGTTGAACAGTTGAAGTGTTGTTTGTATCAACATAGGTGGGATCAGTTACTTGGATATGATTGGTGAGTTTTCTGTGTTGTTTCTGAAGTGCAGCAAGAAATAAAAGGAAAATTAAATCCAATTGTTACACCTTTTCATTTCCCGCAGCAGCTTTCTTGTTTACGATTTATTTGCTCTTGTAGGAGGTTCTAAAGAAAGATGAAGCAAAAGAACTAGTGGGAATTGACAAACAAGTGGAGGACATGATGGACTTACTTGATTTAGAAGTCAGTGATGTACGAATAGTTGGAATCTTGGGGAAGGCTGGGGTCGGCAAGACGACTCTTGCCAAGCTCATTTATGAGCAAATTTCCTCTTGTTTCGACAGTTGTAGTTTCCTTGCAGATATTGGGGCAACAGTGAAACAACTTGGAGGTGTTCGGCTTTTGCAAAGCAAGTTGATGTCTGATATCCTAAACCGCGAATACGAGGTTGATCAAGTTGCGAAGGGAATCGACTTTTTTAAAGGAATATTACGGAATATGAAAGTCCTAATTGTTCTTGATGATGTGGAGGTACGGTCGCATCTCCACGAAATTGTTGGAGAGAAGCTTGATTGGTTTGGTTATGGATCTAGGATAATTGTCACCAGTAGTATCAAATCTGTTCTTCCAGAGTCCATATCTCGAGGGTTGGCTCATGTTTTCAGTATCAACGTGATGAATAATGATCAAGCTCTTGAGCTTTTCACAAAGCATGCACTGCAAAGAAATTTTCCAAATCCATATTTTGGTAAAATTGCAAAAGGTATAATCAACTCTGCAAATGGGATCCCATTACTTGTTGAAGTAATTGGTTCACTCTGGTATGGAAAAGGAGTAGAAGAACGGGCTGCACTTGGGAAGCTAATTTTGAAATTTGGCCTGGATATTAAAAAGATTTTGATGGTTAGTTATGAAGAATTGAGGAAAGAGCAAAGAGAGATATTTCTTGATATTGCATGCCTCCCCGCTAACGTGGATTATCGAATTGCTTCATTTATGTGGCATAATCCCAATTTTCCCCTCTCCGATGGAATTGATGCACTCCGTGTCATGTCCCTGGTAAAAATTGGAAAAAATAATGAACTAGGGATGCACAGGCTGTTAAGGGAGTTTGCCCAACAAATCATACGTAAAGAGGATGATCTAGATCCAGGAACGCGAGGCAGGTTATGCAATTTGGAATTGGCCCGGAAAAAGAAGAAGATGGAGGTACAGTATCTGGTGTAATTCTATAGCGGATTGCGTGCCTTACCCTGTTCTCGAGCCTTGGAGTGTTGAGAAACTGCCCTTTTTCTTTAACGTTGACTTATCTAGCTCTTTCTCTTTTTTTCTCCACTTAATACTTTTTCCATTATAGGGGACAGACCACCTCAACTTTGTCGCGGGAGATTTTAAGAGCATGCCAAACATAAGGTTTCTTATCTTGGATTGTGCAAAAGTCGTTGGTGATTTTGCCAATGTTTTTCTAAATTTAAAGTGGCTTCAATGGCAAGGATGCACCAGAGATTTTGAAGCTACTAATTTTCATGTCCGGAAATTAGTCATTCTTGATCTTTCATGGAGCAAAGTCACTGAAGACTGGGGAGGTTGGAGAGAAATCAAGGTAGATTAAGCTTTGTTTATTTCATTAAACTGTTTCCCTGATGAGTAAGTTTTCACCAGAAAGATTTTTATGAAGACTTATTTAAGATATGACACTTTCCGGCATATGGCACGTGCAGAACTGAATATTACTCTTGAAATACTTAAGGAAATAATTGGTTGCCTGCCAACAACAATTAGAGGGTTTGTGGATGATGGTGGTGGTGGTGGAAATCTTAGGTTGAGTGAGTAAGGGGAATGATTTTCTGTGTGTCGAAAGGGTAAGTCATTCTTTAGAATCTGAATAAGCATCTTCTTTGACTATGAAAACATTTTCCATCAGAAATCTTCCTAAACTATGCCAGGATTGTAAGATTGGAAAACATATTTTCAAACATTGTTTTTCTTCAAAACAAGCAAAGCCTTAGTCTTTATTTCCTCTAAAGATTTGTTCAGTGTACGAATTAATGTTTCTGTGTTATTTTTGCAGATGCCACTGTTGAAAGTCTTGAATCTTACTGGTTGTGCTGACCTATTGATAAGCCCTGACTTGTCCTCTTTCCCAGACTTGGAGATATTGATTCTCGAACGATGTTCTCGACTAATGAAGTTAGATCCTTCCATCCGTCATCTAAAATGCTTAACTACCTTAAATTTGAGGTTCTGCGATGAACTCAACATGCTGCCAATTGAACTGGGTCACATGAAAGCTCTTAAGGAGCTCCTTATCGATGGGACTTCGGTACAAGAAATTCCCGTGTCAATGGGTTACATGGAGAAACTTGAGATTTTTAGTGCCTCCAACTGTCTCCAGTTAAGTCACCTGCCTGATTCAGTTCGTGGCTTGACAGCTCTTTCAGTACTCTCACTGGAAAATGCAAAAATTACTCGAATCCCTGCCTCAGTTGAAAAGCTGGTGAAACTTCGGATCCTGTCTCTAAAGGATTGTCGTTGGATAGGAAGACTTCCGGATTCAATTTGCAATTTGGGAAACTCATTAGAGGAGTTGGATATAACAGGGACAGGCATATCTGAATTGCCCAATTCAATTATTCGCTTGGGGCATTTAAAAGTGTTAAAAATGGATTCTTGCTTCATTAGAGAATTGCCTAGAGAAATTGGAAATTTGGTCAACCTTGAAGAATTACATGCTTCCCATTGTAGGAGTTTGAAGGGAGCCATTCCAACTGCTATTAAGTATCTAAATCGTCTGAGGATACTGAGATTGGGACATTCCAGTATTTCTGGCATTCCTTCGGAAATCGGAAGTCTTTCTTGTCTTCAGACTCTTGATTTACTTCGGTGCAATGAGATTCAAGCTGTGCCAGAGCTTCCCTCCAGTTTAACTTGTCTACGTGTAAGTTCTGAAAGGATGAAGACCTTGCCAGATCTTAAGGATTTATTGAAGTTGGAAGAGATATGCCTGGGTGATAAAGATCCTAAGGAGCTCATATGTCCCTCAACACAGATGACGCCAATATCCAGTTCAAGAGATCTCTTAGTTGTGCCCATAGCACTTCAAAAAATGAAGATGTTAGAGTTGTCTCATTCTCGAATCAGTAAACTGCAACTTGGGCATGGTTCCCTCTCATGTATACATCTTAAGAAGCTAGTTCTATCTGGTGTGAATCTTGAATATGTGCTGGAACTTCCCTCGTCATTGTCCATTTTATCTATTCGATGTTGTTCGTCTTTGAGACAATTGCCAGCAGTTCACCATCTGAGCAAACTATCAGAGCTAAATCTCATCCAATCTGCGGTAGAAGAGATTAAGGGGCTTCAAGGACTAATTGCTCTGGAAATCTTGAATATAATGCACTGTGAAATACGTAATCTCAATGGGCTTGGCCAATTAACAGAATTACGAAGTTTGATATTGTCAGACTGTGATTCACTTGGTGGATTGCCCGATATATCAAACTTGAAGATGTTGAATGTCCTAGTAGTCCAAAGATGCAAGATGATCCCTAATATTGAAGGACTTTGGCGTTAACCTCCTTGGAAGTGCTGCATGTTAATGATAGGGTCCTGATGGAATCTATAATAGATAGTTGATGTCCTGTGCGCCTGGACTGGACATTCAGTGATTTACACGGCTCTTCGGACAGAATCAGAACCATGCAGCTGTTGAGGGCGACATCATTGAAGTCCACTGTGAAATTAAGTTGGCAAACTAGCACCAAAAATTGCTGGAGCTGCAATTTGAAATTGGGCACCAAAAGTTTTTTGAGTCCTTCATCTATCAAAAGTGGAACCAAGTGCCATAAGCAAGCACCCTTGCACTGACCTCACAGTTCGTCAGATCCTTCATATTCCTCTCACCCTCACCAATCCATCTTTCTGTCCAGTCTCTCTCATCAACTGGCGACTTATCGTTTCCTGTAAATTGGGGATGATCTGGAGGCACTGCAAGGAATTTTCTTGTCTCAAAGGCATCTCCGATTGTTAGATGGTATATATAAGCACAATTAGGGGCAAAGTTGGTAGCTCTCACATGTGAACGAACCCCCCATACAGCTGGTTGTCTGGCATGTCATGCAGGAGATGTAGATACAATTATTGCATTTAGTGAAAGACATGCTTGGGCCAGGTAATAATACCAAATGATTTTCTCCAGAGTTTTATCATAATAAACAGGTGTCTATGGTACCCAAATTTACAATTCATTTGACTGTAAGAAGTGCACCTCTTTTGCTCAAGTTCAGTGGGTAGTTAAGAAAGGCACCTATTTTCCAATGATCTTTTACTCATCACCCATGGAGAAAAGACTTATGAGCCTTGTATGTTTCATACAGACTCTTCTTCATGGAATGATGTTGTTTCTTGGGTTCAGATTAATCTGAGAGGCAACACTATACGGATGTTAGTCTTTAAACTAGCCCAGGATGCACTAGTTTATTTCAGTTGGAGAACTCGAAATTATCAGTTCCATTGTCCTGGGACTCACATTTGTATTGGGAACATTTCAATTGTTTTCTTGCTGATGTAATGCGTAAGACACACCCCAGATGACATGGATGGCCGTCTACTCAAATGAAAGCATCCTCACAATAAGTACCAAGAGCGACATTTATCTCAAAACACGGATGGCAGAGAGGGCGAGCTGGTTAGAAAGGATCTAGTAATCATTGTAAGTGGTTATTGATTATGGCATCTTACCTCATCTTGGTTTAGGATCACAAATAGGTTGTTTTAGGTAACTTTTGTTCAGCTTGAGCCTTTTGCGTTGGTATGGGACATCGGTGCACAATTCTGTTGATCCTAGGTCAACTTCTCAATTTTAACCTGATATGGCTTATCCCAATCCAATTATTTCTGAGTGCTCGCTGGTTTTGGCAAAATATTTTGTAATTTGACTCCGTGAGTAAATGTGAGCGGGGAGTATGAATGGAGAGCAGGGAATTCTAGTGTCCAGGTTCAGAGCGGGAAGCGTGAGTTGAGCCTGTGAGGGAAAGGTATTAAATGAAAGGAAAGAGCTTGCCGGGTTAACTTGGCTTGTGGCTACAGTGAATTCAGAACAGATGAAATCTGAATGAAAGTCGGTGACTGGAAGATCTCTTTGGTTTGTGCTGGGGGGACAAGAGTAAACATGTCATCATCAGCAGCTTCTCGCCTGTTATTAGGGAAGAAGCTTCAGTATTATGTAGCAGCCTAGGGGCACACGGTGGAACTGGCGTTTTAGGTCAATGGTTTATGTAATACCACGTGGAGATGGAACTTTCGGGTAATGGTTTCACTGGCCAGTGGGCAGAGAGAGAGAGAGAGAGAGAGAGAGAGAGAGAGAGAGAGAGAGAGAGAGACCATAGAATATGACTAATATAATGAAAAATTTGGTCCTTGAAGTTCCTCCCAAGCTTTCGAATTATAGTAGAAATACACAAATTTTGGATTTCTTTGACAAATATGGTATCAGCTTATATACCATTTCAAAATCCATACTTGATGCGGAGAGTTTCATATCATTGAAGGGCTTGTTTGGTTATCGGGAGTAAAAGCAGCTGAGTGAAATTAGGATCATGAATGTCTTTCTTGCCAATGTTTGGTGAATTAGAATGAGACTGAATGGAAGTGAAATTTGAGAAAGAAAATTGTTGCATTATTGCATTTTCATTACTATGGAGGAAGGTCGTGGAGGAGGTGGGAATAACTGAGAACGAAAACAAAGTCAAAAAAATAAGTCATTGGCTCGGCAACTTTTAAATGAACAGATGTAACTTGGTATGCATGCTTAGCTCATTTTTTTAATCTTTAGAAATTTGAAACAACCAAATTCAAATCAATCCAAAATCATATAGAACATGGCCGGCACTATTTCCACAGCTTGAATGTCTAAAGACACACAGCATTTAATGGTGAGCAGACGAAAATACCCTTAGAAACCAGCGCCTTTTTCCTTGTTCAACACGCCGTGGATGACCGCAGGCAGCCCTCCGTACCTCCTCCTCCGGCACCGTGACGAGCAGAAGTTAAATGTGCGTCTTCCAGAGCCACTCTGTTGTCTCTCCCGGATCTTGTTCCATTGATCTGAAAAATCCTTCTGTTTGCTCAACCCGAGAATGTCGGCTTTGAACACATGTACGGTTGGAGTCTCCTCCCAATCAATGAAACCTTGCGTGAACGACAACACCGCGGAGTCACTTTTGGCTCCTGAGTCTGTCTTTGATATCGATTTCCCCCCTTCTGACCTCGCCGAGATGGTGCAATATTATTCTATCTTTGAAATGAATAAACATAATTTATAGAAAAATTTTAGAAAAATCTAAAGGGAACTATTAACCTAATGAAGGTGATAAAGTACTTATGGACAGCACCCAGTGATAGAGCTAGAATTTTGGTGGAGGGGACGAAATATTTAACATGATCGATTAATATTTGTTATCATGTTAATTGTAGGAAAGAGAACCATGTAATAGCTTAGAAGAAAAATGTAAAATAATTAAAGATTTGTTTTGAAGTGAGATAAAAATACCGAGGAACCCTATTGAAATAATAATAGTTAATGGTGCATTTTAAGTTTATTTTTGGTGGCCATTTTTGGATGCGTGGGCACGTTTGAGATTAGAGTGAAATTTGGAGATTTTTTTAAACAAAGAAGACTTCGGGAAAGAATTAAAATTAGACCTAAAATTTAAGAATTATTTAGGGAATTAGCCCTTTTTTTTTCATCCCCTATCTCTTGACTTTTCAACTCTTGCATCTTCAACTGGCATTGACTTTGCAACTCTTGCATCTTCAACTGGCATTGACTTTGCAACTCTTGCATCTTCCCCAGGCTTTCGCTTTTAATCAAATTTTGTATCTGATGTCTCCTAAGATCCAACTCCGGGAGGGAAAATCTCTTCCTGTAGCATCAACAGTGAGCAAGAGAGGGAGGTGATGGCCCGCAACTCGTTTGTGCTGCCTCGTTTGTGTTGCCTGTGTGAAAGAAAGCAGGTTAGTTCCGCTTCCCCGTGTTTGTGCATTTTTTTTACAAGATGGGTGGTTATGTCTGTGTGAGGACTGTTGATTTAGCTGGTATATGCTTTGATCTGCATCATTTCTTTGGACTGCAATGAAGGATTTACTGGAACATTTTCTTGATCTTGATTTGGTCCTCAAATCAGCTGCATCTCGTATCCTTTTCAGAACATCATCAATAAGCCTAGATCGAATGGAGTCAAACTCTTTTTCTTTCCTTTTGTTTTTGGTTTTTTTTTTCCCTAAAGCTAGTTTGTTGTCTCATATCAGAACATCCTAGTCAAGGCCTTATGCTTCCAATTTTAGCTTTCGCTAATATGCGGAAATTGTCGTTCGCCTCTTTTGTTTTACAGTAGTTGGTCTCTTCGCCGCCACTGCTGCCACCGCCGCCCCCGCCTCCGTCATCATCACAGCCATCGTCGTATTTATCATCCATCTCTACCTCATCAAGAGCCAATTATGATGTGTTCTTGAGTTTTAAAGGTCCTGATACTCGCAATGGATTTACAGATTGCCTCTACGCCAGCTTGATTAGTGCAAGGATCATTGTCTTTAGAGACGATGATGATCTTGATCCTGGAGATAATATCCGTGATGCATTGTTTCAATCCATAAAGCAATCCAAGATATCAATACCTATTATCTCCAAGGATTATGCATCCAGTGAGAGTTGTCTCAAGGAATTGGCACAAATGGTGGAATGCAATGAAGCGGACACTCAACTGATCGTACCCATTTTCTATGATATTAGCCCTGCTGCATTAAAATACCGACGTGGATGTGTTGGGAAGTCCTTCCGTAAGCACGAGCGCCGTGGAATTGACCGCGTGGTCATTGATAAATGGAAACAGGCTCTTCGAAAGATTACTGAGATGAAGGGGTGTGATCTGCGGATTACAAACATTAGGTAATCATCTTTTTACTGTCCTTTTAATGCTATTAGCTTTAGCTTTATGAAAATTTTGCCAAGCACAATGTTTTTGAAATCATTAATCGGATGGGACTGGATTTTTTTTGATAATGAGGTAAATGTGCTTTCCGTGCCCTTCTTGTTGCCCACTGCATCGTCCTTGTTGGTCAATTTAGTACGGTTTAACTGGATAATTTCCTTCGTAATTTTCGTTGACTGTTGTTAATTATTTTGTAATCTTATCATGATTCCTTATTTTCATCATCACATTTGGCAGTTACGGTGAACTCATAGAGAAAGTTGTTTCGGATATTCTAGAGTGGTTGAAGAAGAATGATTTAGATGTGACTGACGGTTTAGTGGGAATGAAACCTCACGTACGGGAGGTTATGAAAAAGCTTGGTGTCATCTATGTCAATGAGCAGGCAACCGGAGTATATGACAAAGATGTACGTGTACTTGGGATATACGGCACGCCAGGGATTGGCAAGACTACCGTTGCAAAGGTTGTGTACAACAAAATCCATCGTCTCTTTCAACGTTGTAGTTTTCTTTCCAATATTCGAGAAAATGGTGCATCCGATGGACTCATCATGGGCCTACAAGAACAGTTAATCTCAGACCTC